ATCCTAAGCAATTTGAAGTTGGAACTCTTTTGAATAACTTTGAACTAAAGCTAAACGTTCCTGATGCTGAAATATGCATACATATATATACAGTTGAGAGAGAGATACTGTGTGTGTGTAGAGAGAAAGAAACTGAGAGAGAAGTCGCTATAGCAAAGGAACCATTTGTCATTTCAAAGTCGTTATAGCGACTGACTTCGCAATAGCTTTTGATGGCTATTTCAATTTTCAACACATTTTTATAGTTTATACTTCTATCCCTCAATTGATTCGGTCGAAATTAGACTTCAGGTAGTGTTTCGTTTCTCGATTATTCGCATAGACATCACACGGTTACCGAATATTGAAGGAAAAAGATCGATTGTTTTATGAGCAGTGCAGTTAGGGTCAATTATGGGTCGATCCTCATAAATTTGGTAGACAGAATTTTGTTCGTATTAAACTTATTTGTGTCGAATTCCATCGCTACACTCGTATTTTTAAACCATTAATGAGCGTTGCAGTTTTCTGAAGGGGACCACATATGGGGGTAGGGTCAATCATGGACCCATCCTCATAAACTTTTTTAGATAGATTTTGACTCGTATGACACTTACTTATGTCGAATTTCATCTATATACTAGTATTTTTAAGCCAGTAATGAGCGTTAAAGTCATTTTCTGAAGGGGACCTTATATGGGGGTAGGGGCAATTATGGACCGATCCTCATAAAATTTTGCATAGTGATTTTGGATCATAATAAACTTACTTATGTCGAATTTCATCGCCATATTCGTATTTTTAAACAAGTTATGGCTGTTAAAGCTGCTTTTCGAGGTCCACTTGTATGGGGGCTATCCGAAAACGTGGACCGATATTGCCCATTCTCAATACCAAACAAACTTTACCTATAAGAAATATTTATGTGAAATTTCAACCCTCTAGCTCTTTCCATTCGGACTCAATCGTGCTTTCAACAGACAGACAGACAGACAGACGGACGGACAGACATGGCTAGATCGTCTTAGAATTTAATGAGGACCCAGAATATATATCCTTTTGTGGGTCTATGACCAATATTTCGATGTGTTACAAACGGAATGATAAAATCAATATACCCCCCATCTTTTTTGATGGTGGGTATAAAAATCAGGAGAAAGTAAAAAAATCATATGACTTAATATATTATTAAATTTAGTTTACTCTTTAATAACATTCATATCATATTCCCCAGTTTCATAATACTATTTCTTGTCATTACTCCAAAAGAGTAACTCTATCTCTACTACAAACATATAAGCTCATTCAACTCCTTAGATATCTACCATTTTACATCAATTTATACAAAGAAACAAGAAGAAGAAACCCATCAAATCCAGAACACTAAAGTGGAGAATGTAAACAACACAAATCTAAAAGCACTTGTGTAAAAATCGTTAAAAAGAAGAAAAATAAAGAACGAATGAATCCTTTTATGTCAAAGAGAAAAAACCATTTTGATTGGTTATTTCAACTTGAATGCACTCATACATACATATAATTCTTCTATTCCGAACGACGACTCTTTCAACATAGTAATGCAGCAGCAACTACAGAAGAAGGAATGAACACAACAGCAACAACAACAAAAAAACAATTCCATCAACTGACATTTTGATGGGAGACATGACTTGACAGCTCAATGAAAATGCAACAAAAAAGCAAAAAACTATATAAAATTTTACTTGTAGTTTTCTCATACTCTGGTTCTTAGATGGTTGTGTGTGCGATAAAGAAAGAATATACGTTGACGCACAAGTTGGTTGAAAATGTTGGTTGGTTGACTGAAACTTTGAAAAGAAGAACAAAAAAGAATCCATCAATTTTAATGTTTCTTTTTATTGTAGTTGTTGTTGTTTTTTGTAGGGCTTCTTCGTCGTCATCTTTCGTCTTTCAAGCCATAAAATGCAAATCATTTGTTTTTGTATGTAGTATTTTACGAGTATTGTTTTGGCCATTGTCTATGTGTGTAGTGAAATTGTGACCATTGTCCTCTTATTTAAAGGAACTGTAAGTGATATACCCTACTACTAGGGGAGTAGGTTTGGGGTTTGTTTTATCGTTTGGACTGTGGGGTCATCGGATTTAGAAAGTGTATTGAAGTGATACTGCTTCATTAACTGAAAAATAGTCAAATGGTAATTCCCCTTATTATCGGGAAATTTTGGAGATTCTTATTAACGATTTATTGGGAAAACCTCGAAGAGCTAGGAACTGTCCCGAAGCTGCATGTATTTACGGTTAGCTTATGAATAGGAGTAAGAATCTTTTATTAATCCATCGCTTAAAATTATATTAGATCCAATTATAGGGGCGCTGAATCTGACTCTCGATCCATCGTTTAATAAAGTATTAAAGTTTAATCCGCAAGGATCTATTGTATAGCTTTCTGGTTCATCCCAAAAAGTGCTGAGCTCAAGAAAGAAGTCCCATATTGACGAGAGTTTAAAAATGTCTCTTAAACTTGAGAGACATGGATAATGCTTTAGATCAGCATTATCCAGTATAATCTAATAATCTAAAGGGTATCTTTTTAAAGGACATTACAAGTATCTGATCTCAATTCCACAACTGTTCATTCAAATCACAATTTCCCTTTTTTGTCAGAGGAAAATTGGAAAATTGACGTTGGATGAGACTTGTTGTTAAAGAAATCATCTGGTCCAACGACAGGGGATGATGTAACAGTCGTCGTAATTGAATTAGGGATATCAATCAAAATCCATCAGATCGCTGGATTTGCTTTCCAGTCAGAGGAAGTGTTCTGGTATCACGGATAAGGTTGAATTGGGGATATCAATCAAAATAGATTATATAGACCATCAGATCGCTGGATTTGCTTTCCAGTCAGAGGAAGTGTTCTGGTATCACGGATAAGGTCTTTGCTTCACACCATACATCACTAAAGTGGTTATAGTTAGTTAGTTAGGTAGTTAGTTAGTTAGTTAGTTAGTTAGTTAGTTAGTTAGTTAGTGTTAGTTAGTTAGTTAGTTAGTTAGTTAGTTAGTAGGTTAGTTAGTTAGTTAGTTAGTTAGTTAGTTAGTTAGTTAGTTAGTTAGTTAGTTAGTTAGTTAGTTAGTTAGTTAGTTAGTTAGTTAGTTAGTTAGTTAGTTAGTTAGTTAGTTAGTTAGTTAGTTAGTTAGTTAGTTAGTTAGTTAGTTAGTTAGTTAGTTAGTTAGTTAGTTAGTTAGTTAGTTAGTTAGTTAGTTAGTTAGGTAGTTAGTTAGTTAGTTAGTTAGTTAGTTAGTTAGTTAGTTAGTTAGTTAGTTAGTTAGTTAGTTAGTTAGTTAGTTAGTTGTTAGTTAGTAGTTAGTTAGTTAGTTAGTTAGTTAGTTAGTTAGTTAGTAGTTAGTTAGTTAGTTAGTTAGTTAGTTAGTTAGTTAGTTAGTTAGTTAGTTAGTTAGTTAGTTAGTTAGTTAGTTAGTTAGTTAGTAGTTAGTTAGTTAGTTAGTTAGTAGTTAGTTAGTTAGTTAGTTAGTTAGTTAGTTAGTAGTTAGTTAGTTAGTTAGTTAGTTAGTTAGTTGAGTAGTTAGTTCTTCCTTTCTTCGTTAGTTCGTAGTTACGTTTTTTCGTTCTTTCGTTCGTTCGTTAGTTAGTTAGTTCGTTATCGTGTGTTCGTTGAGTTCGTTAGTTGTTCGTTAGTTAGTTGTTAGTTAGGTGTCGTTCTATCGTGTACGTTAGTTGTTCGTTAGTTCGTTCGTTGTTAGTTCGTTAGTTTCTTCGTTCGTTAGTTGTTAGTTCGTTAGTTGTCGTTCGTTCGTTCGTTAGTTCGTTCGTTCGTTGTTCGTTCGTTTCGTTCGTTCGTTTTCGAGTAGATCTAGGTTTCGTTCGTAGTTAGATTTACACTTCTACCTTAATTACTGTTGTCACACGGAGATTTTGGTTCCATTTCATGCCTTAACATTTACATCAGGAATTATAAGTTCCAAAAACATAGAATGGTGATTTAAAATGGATCTTAATGAAGGGCTTGATCAAGGGATAATGTCGATTATATTGGTATGTCTCTACTCTATTACTATATTTCGATTCGATCGCCGAATTATCTCAATAATTGTTTGAATGCTGTTTGAAGTTCTTCTCCAGAAACTTTAAGAGATTGGAAAATGTGAAAGAGCAACTGTGATAAAAGGATCTATTATCATTTTCGATCATATACCAAGCAATATATGCTAAAGTACACCGGTTTTGCCTCAGCTGCCCATATCTCTCACTTATTTTGCTCGCCTTAACTCCAATCGTTTACAGATCTCCCTAAAGTGATTGTTACTTCTTTTTTTTACTTTTGTATTGTTTTTTCCTTGAGATGCTTTTTTTCAATTCAAGTTATATTTTTTGTCCATTTCTGTTGGTCTGTTTTGTTTTGTACCACAAAATTCCACCCCTTTTTCTATTGTTCTGTCCATCAAAATTTTATATAAAACTTGTACGAGAGATCTTGGTTGCTTTAGTGTTTTTGATGTTTTCAGTTTAGTTTAGTTTCTGGTTCATGTTCGTTTTAGCTCCAAAATGTTGTTGCATGGTTGGTTTTTAAGACTTTTTGTTGTTTTTTTTGGTTCCTGTAGGTTTCCTGATAAAAGCTCTGCCTTCTTTTACTTGTCTTTACAAAACAAAAATGTGATTGTACGGTATAAACGTTAGTATATTTACAGAACGCTACTACATTTTGAAAGTTTAAGGAAAAGTCCATGGACGACTATATGGTCATTGAATTTGTATTAAAGTAAGTAGTTAATATGTATTGTTTCCATTTCTTTCTTTTTCGAAATCATATACAAACTTACCTTTGATATTGACCATTTTTAATGAATTTCGTTTGTAGGTTTATTAGTTTGATTTTTTTTAAGAAGTTGCAAATATGAAATTGACAACACTTGCTGCTACTACAACTTTTACACTATCTGAGTTAACAAAAGAAATGAAAAATATCAAGCCGATATCATATGAAAATGGTCCGTAAGAGGTTTTATTAAAATATTAAACATAACAGTTTCCTTTAGCCACATTTATTCTAATAAATTAATTTAAAATTATAATTTTGAAGCAATTAACCACAAATAATTTAAAGATAATGCAAATACTATCAATTTTATACTTTTGCTAACAATATTAAAGATTTTGAAACGTTTACGTGCAGCTTCAGTTGCTACTATAGGTTGATCAAAGAAATTATATTTAACTCCGCGTACAACATTATCGAAATATTCCGCGATATCTACATCCACAGTATTCTTTATAATCTCGTAAGTGTTACTGAAATAAAAGTAGAAAATATTAATAATATAAGAATAGTTATAAGATTAAGTTAATCTCGAGATCGTGGTAGTTCTTTAAGATCAATAAATTTTGAAAGGTGCTTGAACGTTTAGTACTTTCCAATAATAGGAAAAATATCAACCCTGAGAGATGAGTGAAGAACTTGTTTAGGGGACAGAGAAAGATATATCATTTGAACGTGGGGATTTGAACACAACGAGCTCACAATATCTTATTATTTTTTTTAAAAGGCACTCACTCTTATTATATTATGGAGCGATCTTTTAAATAGTTTGCAAATAAATGTCTTCAGTTCAAGAGATACAAGCTGATGTTTAGGTGTTATCTTACCCTAAAACTTGGATCAGATTTTTAGAGGTTTTCATTCCCACATTAAACCGAAGTATTTGAGGCCTATCAGGCCTCTAACCTCGTATGTAGCGATGCGAGGTGTGACAATAGTCATAACCGGTGGGCCTTACTTGGTAAGCGAGTCTAAACCGAGTAAGACCAAAAACTATCCCCCCACCGTTTACTAGATTTTGCCCTAGTTGGGGCTGCTAAAATACAACCACTGTTGTCTATGTCCATAGCTTCCGTTTGCCGTCTGAATTTATTGAAGCAATTAACCACAAATAATTTAAAGATAATGCAAATACTATCAATTTTATACTTTTGCTAACAATATTAAAGATTTTGAAACGTTTACGTGCAGCTTCAGTTGCTACTATAGGTTGATCAAAGAAATTATATTTAACTCCGCGTACAACATTATCGAAATATTCCGCGATATCTACATCCACAGTATTCTTTATAATCTCGTAAGTGTTACTGAAATAAAAGTAGAAAATATTAATAATATAAGAATAGTTATAAGATTAAGTTAATCTCGAGATCGTGGTAGTTCTTTAAGATCAATAAATTTTGAAAGGTGCTTGAACGTTTAGTACTTTCCAATAATAGGAAAAATATCAACCCTGAGAGATGAGTGAAGAACTTGTTTAGGGGACAGAGAAAGATATATCATTTGAACGTGGGGATTTGAACACAACGAGCTCACAATATCTTATTATTTTTTTTAAAAGGCACTCACTCTTATTATATTATGGAGCGATCTTTTAAATAGTTTGCAAATAAATGTCTTCAGTTCAAGAGATACAAGCTGATGTTTAGGTGTTATCTTACCCTATCTAACTAGAATATACTTGTACTGCCAAACAGGGATTGTATATACCTAAAACTTGGATCAGATTTTTAGAGGTTTTCATTCCCACATTAAACCGAAGTATTTGAGGCCTATCAGGCCTCTAACCTCGTATGTAGCGATGCGAGGTCGTTAAGAGTCCAGCTGGCATTGGTTGTGACAATAGTCATAACCGGTGGGCCTTACTTGGTAAGCGAGTCTAAACCGAGTAAGACCAAGAACTATCCCCCCACCGTTTACTAGATTTTGCCCTAGTTGGGGCTGCTAAAAGACAACCACTGTTGTCTATGTCCATAGCTTCCGTTTGCCTTCTGAAGTTATTGACCGATATCCCATAAATCCAACAGTGTTTGACTTCATAGTGAGCGGTTTGTTAGTGTCCACTCTATTGCTTCCGTTAGCCGTCTAAAGTTATTGACCGATATCCAATAAATCCAACAGCGTTTGACCTCATAGTCAGCGGCTTGTTGGTCTGCGTTTGTCTGCAGAAAAGTTGAAGTTTTTCCTTTCTAGCAATAGTCATAAAATGGAACCCCTTTGTTGCCGATTGTAATGTCTAAAAATTAATCATTCCCTGAGTATTCGGTAAAGCGCTTAATAATATTCGGAAACATGTATTTTCAAGCTGTAGTATGTCCTCTGCTACTGAGGCCTCGTCTAGTAGAAAGGTAGGGCCAGGTTCTGCTAAACGTTCTGCTACTAGTGCTCTGAAATCTGAACATTTCTAAAAAATAAATCTGTTGAAAATGCTTTCATGAAATTTGAATGACCAACTAAGACAGCTATCGCGCTATTTATTATTTTTTTGTATTTAGGAGAGTCCTAGACATAAGCTGGGGCATTAGTCCCACGACTGCGTAATTGTTATTTGTTATGGTCAAAAATCTTGTCTGTTAGAAAACCAGGGTCTCTTTGTTCATAAGCATTGCCTGCCTGCGACCTCATTGCCAAACATTTGGCCCACAACTCGGCTGTTCAACTCCATGCTGCTTGTGCCTAAAAGTCTAAATGTAACGGCGGGTTTGATTTAATTTTAGAGAAAATACCCGAATATATTTGATTATACATAGAATATCGGATAAATCATTCAATTCAGACAATTAAAGTCTAAATGGATGGTTTTTAGTCTTTAACAGGTGTAGCTGGTGGTTTAAATCTTAACGACCACTGTAGCATTTTAAGGCTGGACTCTTGAACATTAAAAGTAGGGTAAAAGGAAGGTAGTACTTGGGATATACATATAACAAAAATATCTGAATTTGAACTGATTGTAGAAATGTTATCAAAGCTTTATCTTAAAGCATCTCTTAATGAGATGGCGAACCATTCGTATCTAAAACTGCTCTAGCTATCGGCTCACGAAAATATATCGGGAATAAACCGGCCCTGACCTATACGAAGTGAAGATCAACACAGAAATTGATGCAACAACAAAGACGAAGAGAAAACTATCGAGCACTTACAAGGTCTCTGTCTTATTAGATTTTGGAACCGAGTCTTTGTGCAGTCCGAATTTTATGAAGTACCAACTCTCTCTCTATTATAAATATAAACAAGTAATTATAGTGTAATATAACGGGACCTAACCTCTGATAATTTCTTTCCCGAAATCCCTAAAATCTATTTAGTCAAAGTAATAAACTTACAGTTCACTTTCCGGTATAGATTTCTCCAATTCAATCATATTTTTATTCATTATTTTGAATTCCGTCGTGGAAAAGAAGGCAATTGCTTTCATCGTATACATAATACGTCGTGAAATCCTTATCATTAACGGTTGACGGCCCACTAAACGCAAAGCAGTATCGATAAGCAATGCCAGCGGTAGATTCATTAGAAATAACTGCAAAAGCAATACAAATAAATAAATTTTCTAAAATTGTCATAATTAATAAAATAGTTAACGAACATGTAAGGCAAAGTTATAGTAACAGGAGGTTAGCCAAGGAGAACCAAAATACCAAATACAATTCTCCATGGGATTATCTTCAATAGACTTATTATACAATAAAACACAACGATGCATATTTATACTAAAGAGATCACCAGCAGCACAGTTAATAACGTCCAAGTCTTTGTGTTCTTTTCTGGAAATTTTTGAAATAGAAATAAGTTTGTCATCTGGAAAATTAGTTTTTTTTTGGGAGGAACTTACCTGAGGGTCTGCAAACCTAATTTATAGCCGGCCACAACTGTTAGTTTTGTAACCAAATCTACGGGTATACAATCCATTTTCATATTTGCATTACAGTATAACATGGGTAGAATGCCAACACTTAGACCCACCATGGCAGCCAAAGGTCCATTCATGTTATCAATCCAACCAGGTACTGGTTCCATAAAAGCATTTAATACTTAGGAAGAGGAATAAGAGAAAAGTTTACAAGTTTCATAAGCTGATATAAGTTATACAGGGACTCTCACCAATTGAGGGACGAAATATGGACATGGGTAATTTACTAGAGTATTCCTGAATAATTTGTTCGCTAAGATTTTTGGTAAATGTATATGAATTGGGATAATGACCAGTATATCTGTTAAAGAAATGATATAAAAAGTGAATTTAAAAAGTATTAAAAAAGTAAGCTAATAATGCTTACTTTGCACATAAAGCATTGATGGTATTTTCATCATAGGTTTCAGCTATTTTGATGGCCTTACGCCAATCCACTGGGATTTTATAAACCTTAAAGAAAGTTTCAAAATCAAATATATAATAAAACTACTATACAATGCCAACTTACTTTTTCCTCCACAACTTTCTCTAGAGGATTACAATAGGCAGTCGAACAGTGTACGAAAGCCACTAGATTCTTAAGTTTTTCCGCAATTTTTACCAGTTCCCAAGTGCCTCGAGTATTGAGCAATATAGAACTACGCAAAGGATCATCAAATCTGCAAATTAATCATAAATAAATCTCTTTTTCCATAATCCCCTACACAATCCCCTACTTAACATTGGCCGCCATATGAAATATAATGCTGACATTTTTCAACAATTCCAAATCTTTTGCTGCTATAGCCAAACCCAAGTCTTGACTGTCTCCTTGTATAGCATGTAATTTATTCAAAACCTCCGGACACTCCCGATGTATGCGATCAAATACTTTATTCTTTTTAAATTCCTCCAAACGTTGCTCAACACCAACTGAACGTTTTCCTCTCAGTACAATATAGATTACCTTGATTTTTGGACAATCACGTAATAGCTTTTCAACTAAGGCCTTGCCCAGAAAACCTATAAATGAAAATTTGTATTAAATATAGTATATGTTAATAAGTAGTATTTTATTAGTGTTTTCTTTAGACAAATTATTATGTTTTTTACTCACCTGTGCCACCTGTTATGAATATTTCGCGATTTGCATAAAAATCGTTAATTAGCATTTTGGTGTTGTTGCTTCGTTTTCTATAATGAAAGCAAATATAAAATTGAACTTCGATTTGTTTATGTTATTCATTAAAAAAATTAATAAACTTTCAATATCATAAAATGGTGAATAAAATCTGAGCAATTATCGGTCGATTATCACAAGAAGTCCTAACGTAAGACGTAATTAGCGTTCCGATAGATACCGTAGAATTCAATTACAACTAATAGATCGGTTATTTAAACGATTCAAAGACCTAAAATTTAGCCATGTCCGTCCCTGTGTCTGTTGAAAGCGCAAACGAGTCCGAATAGAAAGAACTAAGGAGCTGAAATCATGCATACGTATTATCTATTGAAGCTGTTGGAAATTTAAATATCGGTCGATGTTTTCAACAAGCGCTCATACAAGTGGCCCTTGGAATTCATAACATAACTGGTTTAAAAATAACAGTATAGCGATGAAATTTGATATAAACAAGTTTTATACGAACCAAAATCTCTCACACATTTAATTAGGATCGATTCATACTTCTGATTAGCTATGTCCGTCTATCTGTCCATCCGTCGGTCTGTCTGTCCATCCGTCGGTCTGTCTGTTTGTGTACCTTTCGGACCATAATTGATCACAGCTGCTAAACAAGGTCCAATGCCGAAAATCGCTTAAAAACACATTACTAATTACTAAGTAATGATATCCCTACAAAATTAGCTTTTATATAGAGATATGTTACTTTTCATGATAGGTCCATACAAGCTACCCTCCCTGATTGGCTTTGTGCTGATGTTTGTAACATTCAATAATATTGGTCCTACATCTTAAAGTATACCAATCGGCTTAGAATCATTTTCTGAGTCGATTTAGCTATGTCCGTCCGTCCATGTAAACTTTGTAATCCAACTACATGACGTAATTTTAAAGATATTTCAATAAAACCTATTGATAATGTTTAAGATCGGTCCATTATTTCACCTAGTCCCTTATACAACTGAACAACTGCCTAGGGTTACAAACCCTTATAATTAAACTAATCCTTGTAAACCTTGTAATTGAAGAAAATTTTCTGAAATTTGTTACAAGATCTTATATTTTTCAGGGGCGAAGCCTATTGAAAATAGTTAAAATCGATCCATTATTTCACCTAGCCCCCATGCAACTGAACCTTTTGTATAGCTAGCTAGCTCATAATTATGTTTAATATACTCGTATCTAGATAAAAAGCAGTACAGCTAAGTTTTACACTTGTTTTTAAAATGATTGGGTACCACCTGACCCCAGCCCTCATATAAAGAAAATGAATTAAATGACCACAATTCGCTTAAAAATTGTATGGGGATCGGTCCACATTTGCCTTCGGTCGGCCATGCCCGACTTGAAAACATCAGAAAACCATTTTTAGCTATGTCCGTCCGTCTGTCTACCTAAAACACGCTCACGTTAAAACTAAGCAAAAAAAAATCAACCAAAAATATTTATTGTTGTCCTAAGCACTTTGCTATTGAAAATCAGCAAAATCGGTTCACAATGTTAATAATTATGAGTAAAAATTTCAGACCACCTCGAAAAAATTACGTTTTTTCGTAATTCTTCGATGAATTTTGTCACACGTTATTTTATTTACCCAGCGATCAATTATGTTGAAAATCAAAACAATCGATTCAAAATTACCCATAGCCCCCATACAAAGGTATGTATTTCCGGAAATGGATTTATCGTTAATAACTTCCTTATATACATATGTATATCGGTATTAACTCAAAATTTTCCACATATAAATATAATATGAACAGAAATCATACTACAAGCGTAGATTTGTATCGGTCCACAATTGGTTATAGCTCCCATATAGGGCCCATTTCCGAAAATCACTCAAACGCGCATATTTCACTGATAAATAAAGCTATCAAGAAAAAATTCGACATGAATTTTTAATTTTTTCCGAATCGGTCCATAATTGGTCATATGGAAGCTATGAGGTACACTTCCGAAAATCACTTAAACGCATATATTTCATTAACTAATAAAGCTATCGAAGTAAAATTCAACATGAATATGTTTTGTATATATATAAATCATTATAGGGATTTTTTCGCGGATCGGTCCATAAATAGTCATAGCTCCCATATAAGGTTCATTCAGAAAATCCCTAATATCCGGTAAAAATTCGACATGAGCATATTCTGTGTATAGACAAATCATTGAGCTAAAATGTTTTCCAATTCCAATGTTTTCCTTTATATGTCGTAGCTTCCATATAAGGCCAACAACATCGTTTAAAAAGGCCATATCCGGAAATCACTTAAAATAACTTTTTTCGACCTAAAATAAGTTCCATATATGCATAAAGAAATTACTAAATTACCGAGTTATCTACAAACTAGATAGTTAAGTGGGTTTTAATAAAAAGTTACTTGCTGGTAGAGGGAATTTAATAGCCGAATATATAATAAAATCAATCTGGTATTCATATTAATATCAATATATGTATATTTATATGATAATAAAATTCTACATACAAAATCTAATGAGTAAATTGTTTTTACAATAACGAATGGATCTATACATACATAAATTTCAAAGTTTATATATAGGGGAACCTCTCGAAATACTCATTATATTACGGCATATGATTTGATATGGTACATATGTATGTATATAAGATTCGGCATAATATAATATAGCCCTCTTACATCTTCAATTTTGAAAATTTTCCCAGTAAACTACTACGGTTCACAGAAGTTAAGGTAACTTTTAAAAACATGCTTTTAGAAATTTGTCACAATCGAAGTTCCCATAAGTTAGTATATTAATTTATTCTCACTAAGACTTGCAATATTTTATGCATATTTATATATTTTGCATTATTAATCGGAATTGTTTAGTCATTTCCTAGGCACACTCAACATACACACGCCCAAAGTCCAGTGACGTTTACATTATCGAGAATCAACGGCACGAACTCATAAGTATCATCACACAGGTAAATCTTTCTATTACAATCAAAACTTCGAAGGCACAAGATACCTTGAACCTATTTATTAGAAAATCATGGGTATTATTTCATCGAAATAACTTATTTTATGAATAATGCAACAACTGTATAGAGTATAGAGTTTCTGAGACGATCTAGCCATTTTCGCCCGTCTGTTTATATAAAATTTTTATTTCATTTGAAAGTCCTGCTTTTCCTTAAATAGCGGTCAAATTTCAAAAGCATTCACCCATATGACTCTAGCTAATTAAAATCACTCTACTATTTATACTTTTCGATGTTAGGCCTCCTCACTATTATGTATATATACCGTTAAACACAGAATCATCACTATTCGAATTCCAATTTTTTACCCGTTTTTAATATTTCACTAAAAATTCATTGCCTTTGGTATTGAAGTCGTTATAATTCAATAACACTTCCTCATTCAACACAATTAAATAAGTATTTTATAATAAAAATATCCTGGTAATAATATTTATTTTATTTCAAAATTAAAAATTATATATTTCTCTTTCGATATTTACAATTTAAGAATGTTGCGACCGTTCTTGTCAATCACTATAATCAGACTGCAAGTTGATAATAAAATATTACAACAAGTTGTCCATCGTTTAATTATAAATATTTTATATTAATTAGGTTTAAATATTTTACAAACCATTGAACATGAACTGTATTACACTGAAAGAAAAGATAATTTATAGTTTTAAACAGGAAATAAATGTTAATTAATTTTAAAGCAATGGTTACCTTTCAGTGGAAAATATAATAATTGAGAGCAAAAATCTGCTAATGACTTGCACTTACTCAACAACATACCTTTCAATGACAACTACTTACCGTCTGCGTGTTAAAGTAATGAGTTAAAATACAAATGAGAAAGTAGTGAAAAGATGTTTTATTAGCTTTTTAACTCATTACTTTTAAATGTAAGTTTTAACTGGGTGAATCTGCTAAACTTACCTTTCCACTAAATAATATCTGAATGGTCTAATGAGAACAAGTTAGAGTGCTATATTCGGCTGAGCCGAATCTTAAATACCCTTCACCAGCAACTTTTGTATTAATTAATAAAATATTTGTAGAAATAAGTTTTCTCATGTCTTAAATAGAAAAATCCCAAGATTTAAACAGCTTAAATCTACTACAATTCCAAGATTTATTGAACACTAGAAACGCCACTTTCTTTTAAATTTTTATAGCGCCCTAAGATATGCTTTAGCGATATTTAGTATTTGCATGTATGCATGTGTGTGAAAGAATTCAGGATTTTCAAAATACATAGGTTAGGTTAGGTAGGCAGGTCGTCCTCGCGATGTCATCACTGGGGACACACTTGGGTCCAGAATTTTGATCCCTTTGTGATACCTGAAACGAGAGAGAACGGTCGGCGTATTAGTACACTTCAACCTAATCACTCTGGTTTCCACCGAACCAGTTTGTCGCACGAATATAGGAATCTATCTTTCGGATATCAACCTCCGATAGATCCGCTAAGTCATGCAGAAAATAGCTACCTAGCAGACCCACTCTGTGATCAGCTAGGGCAGGACAATGACAGAGGAAGTGAGTTATACTCTCTTCTTCCTCTTCATCCTGGCAGCTCCTGCAGAAGTCGTTACTGGGTAAGTTCAGTCTTCTTGCATGGAGTCCGAAAGGCCAGTGGCCAGTTACCACTGCCGTTAAGTTCCGTAGATTAACTCTCGGAATGTAGAAAAGGGCTTGGGATCTTTGTGGGTCGTAAGATGGCCACATGATCCTTGCCTGTCTACAGGTGGCTTCAGTCGACCATCTGCATTGCGCAAGCTCATATAGTTTTTCACGTATCGAGCGTTTGCAGGTTGAAAGCGGTATACCGACAAAAGGGTCGGTATGCTCTCCTGCAAGCGAGGAGCCTAACTTGGCAAGAGAGTCCGCGATGGTATTACCAGGAATTTGCTGATGTCCTGGAATCCAATACAGTCCTATTGTGGAATGTTTCGCCATCTCGTTAAGGGATGCCCGGCATTCTAGGACTAAGTTTGACGTCGTGTAGACACCACTTAGAACCTTAAGGGCTGCCTGGCTGTCGGTATAAATTCGAATATTAACACCGTATATTCGATAAAACCTGAGCCAGTTTGCAGCCCGTTTAATGGCTGATAGTTCAGCCTGAAGGACGCTACATTGGTCAGGAAGCTTGAATGATACTTCCGTTCCCGAATGTGCTATGTAAAAGCCACCGCCTACACCATGGTTTGATTTTGAGCCATCAGTGAAAACCTTATACGATCCATCATGGAGGATTGTTTCCATCACATTTGGGTCGTCTCGGATATTCACCGAAAAGCTTCTATCAAAAGACGGTTTGGCGATGCAATAGTCGATATTGCCAGGAATTTCTCCTAGACAATTGAGGATGGTGGAGTGACCTGACTGAATCATATGCCACATACCAATTGTATTGAGTCTAATAGCCGCGTTGAGGGCAACCTCTTGGGCCATTAGATCAATAGGTAGCCATCCCATCATGACAAAGAGAGCCTTTGATGGGGTGGTGCGGAGAGCCCCCGTTATCAACAGAGCTGATGTGCGAAGGATTCCCTCAAAACGTTTGCGGTGTGAGTCCTTTTGTACAGACTTCCACCATACAAGTGCACCGTACAATAGTATGGGCTTGACTACCATGTCGAAGAGCCATTTGGTATTCTTGGGGTTTATGCCCCATGATTTGCCAATTGCTCTTTTACACGAGTATAAGGCCGCAGCCGCTTTTGATACTCTAGATTGAGTGTTCAAATGCCATGATAGTTTTGAATCTAGGATTACTCCCAGATATTTAGCATTATCCGATAACTTCAATTCTATCCCATTCAGTCGTGGGAGAGTGAAGGTGGGTATCTTGTACTTCTTAGTGAAGAGAACAAGTTCCGTTTTCGATGGATTAACACCAAGGCCACTGACGTTGCTCCATGTACTGAGTGTCCTGAGTGCAATCTCCATCCTTTGCGATAAAGTATCCAGATATTTGCCAGATACTACTACAGACACATCGTCTGCATATGCTATTACCTTAAATCCCATAGATCTAAGATCCATAAGAAGTGGGTTCAACGCTAGGTTCCACAGAAGTGGAGATAGAACTCCACCTTTTGGGGTACCGCGATTTGCCACTTTTGTGACATTTGCTGCTCCCATTTCGGAGATAATGATTCGCTGAGTCAGTAATCTCTTGATGAAAGCTGTTATTGGTTGGTTTATACCCAGACCAGTTAGGGCCGTTGTTATCGACCCAGGGTGAACATTGTTGAAAGCCCCCTCGATGTCCAAGAAGGCAACCAGTGTATATTCCCCTTGCGCTATTGTCTTTTCAATGTGACAAACTAGCGAATGTAATGCAGTCTCAACAGATTTTCCCTTCATGTAGGCATGTTGAGATGCTGATAAATGGTCAGGTTTGATATGTATTCTGAGATGCAGATCAATTATCCTTTCCAAAGTTTTGAGAAGAAAGGAGGATAGACTAATTGGTCTAAAATCCTTTGGCTTCGTGTGAGAGGTCTTTCCTCCTTTCGGAATGAAGACCACTGTGCACTTGGTCCAGGGTTCGGGTATATAAGACCATTTTAAACAGGCATCATATATCCGCGTTAGCCAAGGCATAAGATGGACAGCATTGTATTGCAAATCCGCAGGTATTATACCGTCAGGACCCGGTGATTTGTAGGGGTCGAAGCTGTTTATCGCCCAGTTGATTTTATCTTCATTTATGGATATTCCTGTATCAGCTGGGAGATCTGTGAACTGCATGTCAGTCCCGTTTTCCGGAGATTGACAGCCTGGAAAGTGAGTGGCCATTAAAACTTCTAAGGTTTCTTGGCTACTGGTCGTCCAACTGCCACAAGGTTTCTGAATGAAACTTGGGACAGGAGGAGTAGATGATAAGATTTTGCGCAGACGACTGGTCTCAGAAGAACCTTCCACGCCGCTACAGAAGGTTTTCCAAGATTTGCGCTTTGCATTTCTTACCAGGTTCTTGAAACGATTAACCGAGGTCTTGTAAGAAATCCAGTTTCCTGTTTTCTTTGCCTCGTTAAACAGTCTGCGCGTCTCTTTTCGAGATTTCGCAATGTCCGCAGACCACCATGGGGGCCTGCATCTGCCTTTGTGCATATTCTGTTTACAAGACAGTGAAGTCGCGTGTTTGAAAGCTTGATTTATGGTTTCAACCGCGTTTTCTATGTCCGATCGGTTTTCGATGATCGGTACATCCTGGAGTGAACGTGAGATTAGCCCCATTTGCATTTCCCAATCTGTTCGTCTCCTGTTTATTAAGGGCTTTGGGGCCACTTTGTCAACTACGATTTCAAAATCGATGTACTGATGGTCAGAGAAAGAGCAGTCACTTGAGACTCTCCATCCCCTTATCCTATCATGATGCATAGAACTAACCAGCGTAATGTCAAGAACTTCCCTTCTGTTTGAAACAATAAAGGTCGGTTCGGATCCTGTATTTAAAATATCAAGATTATTGCTTAGAATGAAGTTAAAGATTGACTCACCTCTAGCGTTTATGTCCGAGCTTCCCCAGACAGTGTGATGGGCATTGGCATCAGCCCCCATGATGATCGGCATGCTTTTCGAGTTTGCCATCTCTATGGATCTGCAGACCAGGTTGTTCGGTGGCTGGTCGCTGTGGTCGTGAGCCATGTACGCCGAGATAACCAATATAGCACCTACACTGGTCTCCCATATGGCTGCTACGGTGTCTTCATCACTGAAATCAGAAAGAATGAAGATGTTGAGACTGCTTTTGGCTACTATACAGGATCGAATCTTACCAGATCCTTTTGCGTACAATAGCTTAAAGCTTTTCATGCCTAGTCCACTCACCCTTTCTTGGTGAATCCAGGGTTCCTGGACTAGGGCGAGCTCCTCCCCACTTACACCCATTCGGAGGAGCAGTGCAGCCGAGGCTGCTTTGGAGTGGTGGAGATTAATTTGGGTTACTCTCACCATCTCCTTTTTTGTCTTTACGCAACACTGTGACGTTGGCGTCCTCCTTGTCAGAGGCAAGGAGATCGTCCTCGTCAACTGACTCTTCCCCCTCCTTAACCAACTTAGAAGTTGATTGACTCAGCGAAAGGTCAGTCTCGTCGCAAGACATATCCGCAGCGGATTGGTCAGGATCGGGATCATCCTGTTCCAATAGTCCCTTGTCATCGCCTCGGTAGACACGGAGGAAGATCGACTCGAAGCCGTAGTAGACCTTCCCTTGTTTCTCGCGAAGCGGCGCCAAAGACTCCTGGTTCAGGATCACAACAATCCTTCTGGAGCTTCCTACAGGTTGAGAAACCCTGACGACCTTCCAATCTTGAGTTGGAAGATCCGGATTGCCAACCTGTAGAAGCTCCAGTATCGCTGCCTTTTTATGTGGTTCCGCAGGAATTATGGCGGTGGATCTAGGCCTTCGTGGGATCTCGTCCACAGAGACCACTTCCAGCTTAGCACCTTCCCACGGATCCTTTATCAGCGACACAGCCTGCTTCAGGAGCAAAGCTGAGCGCTCGTTGGAACAGGCCATTAGCTTCACTCTGTTGTG